TGGTCAGCCTTTTGGGGCAGGCCAGATCAGGGAACAAACAATGCAAGGAACTCTATTGTTTGGGGGTATAACAACAGCCTTGACATCCTGCTAGAGTTTCCTTCTCCTCCTCCTTATAATCAGAAAAATCAAGATGGCATTATCTTGAGATTCTTTTCCCCTCTTCTTTCCCAGGGCTAAGTTGATGTTTATTTAAAGGTTCTTGCATTCCTTCTTCAAGATTATCTCCAGTGTCTTCCACCCAGAGTTTTGTGTTGCTTTGTCCCTGTCTTCCTTGAATACCTGGTTCTTTCCCCAGGCCTTGGCATGAGGTGTGGTTTTCTTTGGTCACATTGTGTTCACATTGTGAGTTCTTATTTGTTTTATTAGGTCATAGCATCTTATCAGAGACTTTTTATGCTTGAATTTATTGTAAAAGTTTATTGAGCTCTATACATCTGATAAAATAAACAAACATAAAAAGGACAGGAGGCCCTCCAAATCTCTTCCAAGTCTAAGATTCTATGACTGTACAAACTAGATCCAGAGTAGAAGAGAACTGTGGAAGCCAAACTGGTTGGACAAGACTGGCTGGGTCCACTGTTTTGTTAGGCAAATTCAGCCAGGTGTCTCCATGGGAACTAAGAAAGCAAAGGTAGCAGGACATTTTTTATCCCCTTCCTAACTAAAAAGAAGAGACAAAATACTTCTCTGAGTGACAGTGACTTGAAGGCTGAGGTTTTAGATTCTATCAGGAGCAACAGCATTTTGGAGATCTGCTGTGGGAGCAAGAAGGGGAATGACTGTCTGAAGTGTGAAAGCTGTGTAGCTCCATTGAGTTTAATCTACTGCATATATTTTTTTAAGAAGCACAAACATTTCAAACTGCCAATAGGCTTCGACTGAGCACCTTCCAAAGGAAATCAGACCAGGGTACATTATGCATTCTTGGAATGTTTGACCGTTTAAAGAAAAGGGATGTGTGCTATAACAGATGGGTACTGTGAAGGTTTTGGGGGGCTCCATTTTTAAAATGCAGTGAAACTTTGATTTACCAAACCTTGATACAATAGGCTTTGCATATAATAGACCAAATGTCTGTCTGTCTGTCTGTCTGTCCGTCCGTCCGTCCATCCATCCATCCATCCATCCATCCATCTTACATGATAAGTTCATTATACAAATGATAAAACTGACAATATTTGCATCAACGTACTCATGCCCAATGACATAAATGAATACGAATGATGTGACTTGCGTGATTTGTATCATATCACAGTTTGCAATTTAATCCAGTAACAGTCTTCATCAACTAAGTATTCACCCATGTTTATCCAAGTCAGTAACAGAGCTAGTGGTTGCATTTACACAAGCTAAAAATCTTAGTTAGTTTTAATCCTGGTTGTTTTTGTTGGCCAGGATGGTGCACTCAAAATTGACAGCTAGGTTTCATGCCATTCTGAAGCCCAAAATACAACAAAATTACAACATAAGCCTAAAATAGAATGAAAACAGTATATCTATAAAAAAAATAAATCCAAGAACTGTGCTCTATCCAACCTCAACACCCACCCCCAAATTCCTGAGCCTGCCCACGGCAGTCTTTGCTTCAGCTCAAATATTAAATGTGGCTCCCGAGAATGAAATGGTGTCCGTCACTGTTCTATATTACGTGTATCTTCTGCTCCAAAAGCTCTTTTTGAACGATTTGCATTTGTGGAATTTAGCTACAATGGTCATAGGACTTCTCAAAGCATTAGTTCAACTGGAAGCATATGCCTGTAGTTCCTCAGAACTCATTACTTATATATCGGAGCAGTAGTGAAAATGCTATTGGCCACATGCAATAGCTGACCTTTTTTCGTTATCTTATCTGAAACCAGCAGGGTGACTTGAATTCTGAGTTCAAAACCTCATGGGGTTAAAGGCTGAATTATTTCAAATTCACTACCCCAGGACCTCAGGCAAAACAAAAAGTCTGTTAGATAAGACCACAGTTTGTTCTTGCTCCAAATTTACTTCTGGGCTACTCTATCTTCTTAGGTACACAGCCCTCCATTTCCAGAACTTCAGGCCAGCCATCATACTTGTTTGTCTTCTCATTGTTTTTCAAATACTGTAAAAGAAAAAAGAGGCAAAATTAAGAGTGTGATTAGTAAAATGTGCAAGCATTTGCTTTTGATATTTATACTTTTCAAGAGATAGGAATATGGCTTCCATAAAATCAAACCATTAACCTCTTCAGCTCAGTAGCTGGCAGATATTTCTTCCGAAGTACTACAGTACTGACTTTTATTTGGAGATGCAGGAATTGCATTTCTGCGATATAGCACCATGCTACAGTTAGGTTTATTCAGATATCTTCTTTTTATATGTTAAAGCATCATATGGTGACTTGTAGCAAGGTTCTGCATGCATTCATTTAATAGCATCCGGTATTTTCTGAGCGGTGGGATGAGTCCATGCAGTCATTTCCAGCCTGGCTCCTCTGTATGCCTTGGGAAGAACTACAGTTTCTAACCATGGGCAAGGATGGCTCGGAATTCTGTAATTTGAGGTCTAATACTGGAGGACAATAGGTTAAGACAAGCTGAGTTAGTATATCTGAGATCCCCAATCTGTCTTCCATGGATACTGATGTCCTTGCAGACACCTCCACTGGGGTCCACCTCCTTTTTAATCTATTCTACTTTTTACATTTTGAATATTATTTTAATTTTAAACACAATTTTAAAAGATGTTGGAACATAAAAACATGCATTGTTCGGATGCAGAGGTATCTACAGTATTGAAGGCGTTTGAAGGATACACGTTCCACCACTTTTGTATGTGTGTGCAATGTCCAGTGTCAAAATATGGGAGAAGAGGGAAGGGATCATGACCCATAATTTATTTCTAACTTTTAGGATAAGTTTTAAATAGAAATTTATGAGACTGGATTATTGCATGTTTAAATAAAATCTGAAAAAAGGAAGCTGGCCCTAGCACTGAGAAACACATCTATTCCCACTGTATTCCATATACATTATATAGGTGCTCATAGAAGAGAAAAACTGTGGGTGATTGCAATCTATTGCCTTGTTTGTAAATGTGTCCATGATGCTCATCCTTCTAATTGTGGGTATTATTTTCTTATTTTGTTGTTTAAAATTAAGCAAAATTCTATTTACTGTAGGAGATCTTTACACAGCCTTTTTTTTGGCCAATATGAAACCCTGTTATGATGGAGATGTTTTTTCTTTTCTTTTATCTCCAGAGTAACATGCGGGAAACAGATAGGACAGCACAGTCTCTTGGTTAACTTTTAAACAAAGAAATAAGCTAAGCATTTAAATGCTTTTTTATTAGATTCTACATTGTATCTGTAGCCAGTCAGTCCTTGCTGATCCTGGCAAATCTATTCCTAGCCCTGTCTTCCTGGCCATGGAGGTTTTCCTAAACTAATACTGTAAGTGTCCTTCAAACCAGTCTTTCCACCACCACCACCACTTGAATCCTTCCTCTAAATTGAGAGGAGGTGCCACACTCTGATCAGCAATGCCACGGCTCAATATTCAGTCTTTCTGTCCAGAAAAAGAAAGGTGAAGCTGATAGTGAGTATTCTGAGTGGCCAAAAGGAATGATAAGGAGAAAGTTTCAAGGTTGCCTAGTGATACATCGATGTGGTGTGATTGGTGACATCCACTATGACCCCCGCTTTATGAACGGGCCCATTTTGTTTCAGTGTTCATCATAGGCTGTCAAAACATTAAAGACTTTCATGGGCCCTTAATAATATTACATGGAGTATTCAAACCTTTTCCAGCCACATTATCCGAGGACCTAGCTCTCTAGATAAGGCTCTAATACTGAGAAAGGTGGAAGGAAAGAGAAGAAGAGCACGACCGGGAGCAAGGTGGATAGACTTGGTAATGGATGCACCATTGGAAGACCTGAAAAACCAGATTAGGGACAAATTGTAATGGAAAAAAATCTATCTATATAGTTGCTGAGACTTGACAATGACTTGATGGCATATAATTAATCAAATTCAAATTTTAATTCTTCTGAATAAATAATTGGTTTGCTGGCTATATAAAAGGATTTGCACAAAGGGAACATCAGTGAGATTATGCATTTATTTTATGTTAAGATCACTGGATATCCATTCAATATATTTCACTGGATGTGGCAAAGATTGTGGTTATAAGTACATCACACATTTGTGCATTTATGCATGGATTTTGAGTGCACCAGTGAGCAGAAAAGTGCTCAATTTTGGGGGGGGGAAGTACACATAGTTACAACAGACTGCACTCTGAGCCATGGCATCAGTGTGTCTCTCAATGTGGCCAAGAAAGACAGCTTCAATATATAAAAAATATTCTAGATGGTGGGGAAAACTTTAAAACTAGCTGTAATTTCTGAGTGTAAAATCGTTCTAAGAAGTGGCCTTGATATATGCTATCTAAATATAAACTTCATAATAAGTATGACTAGTGGTGTATTTACAAAGCCCTGAGCAAGAGTAGCCAGTTCAACATTGTGAGATCAGATCTGCAATCTAGCAACCTCTGGCCAGTGACACATTGTTCAGAACTCACCTCCCTGCCGAAGCTGAGACCTAAAACAAGTCAAACTCCTTTTCTACCAATTTCTTTTTGAATTTGTAGAGATATTTAAAGAAAACTGGTGGGGAAGTTCTGTCAGAGCAGCTGCTGATGAAAAAAAGACCACTTTCAGCTCACATGTTGAAGGTAATTTTAAATGGTTTATGAAAATAACTAAGTAATCCCAAATATGGATATGTTGGGGTATGTGAGAGTATGTGTAGCAGCAAAGGGACTGATTGCCATTGTGAAGGTAGTGCTGATTCATTGTGGCCAAGAAAGACAGCTTCAATATGTAAAAAATATTCTAGATGGTGGGGAAAACTCCAGTACAGAAGGATGTACAGGGGAGAGTGTCTTTATCAGGCTTTTCACTCCATTGCAGATGGATGGATGGATGGATGGAAGGAAGGAAGGAAGGAAGGAAGGAAGGAAGGAAGGAAGGAAGGAAGGAAAATCATCCATGGTGGGGGAGTCAATGACATCAAAATGGCAGGCGTGACCAGGCGACCAAGGTCCCATCCCTTTTTACATGTATGTGATAAGTATGACACAGTTTAAAAGGAGCAGGTTTTCAATCACTTGGTCACTTCTAGGTGACTGATGCTATTGATCTCCTAAGAAGATGTGATAGAGAGATAGAGATAGATAGATAGATACAGAAATATTCTCCTCTAATAGAAAAAGAAAGCAGGCAAACCAGCTATAGGGCCATAATTTTGAAAATCTTAATTCTGGAGGTGTGAAGGAATGTGAGTTGGATTCAGAGAAGGAGAATAATGCTGAGCAGTTACAGAAAAAATGTCTGAGTCCTGGGAAAGTAGAAAGTATAAGAAAGAAACCTGAAACAACTTACCTTGATTGTGTTAGGTGTAAGTTGAAGTAGAGAGGGGCTTGGACAGATTCTAGTACAATACCCTAACCGCATTAATGTACATGCCAAGATGCCTAGCAGCTCCTGTTTTCTGCCATTCCCTACCTCCAAGGGCTGACAGGAATACCTTTCACTGGAATTGAACAGATTAGCCCAGTTTCAGGAGCTGACCCTAGCAGAAAACTATAGACGTTATCCCAAGTATAGGTGGATCCTGGGGTACAGAGATGCACCACTGGAGGGATCTCCTCTTTGCCAGGGGAGGGACTTTCCTGCCCTGTCTTAATCCTGGGAGCCAGTGGATCGGAGGGAGATTAGGACTTTCCTGATTCTGCCATTCTGGTTCTGCCATAAGTAAGCGAAGAAGAAACCATCTGTGCACGTATCACTTTGGATTACAGTACACAGCTACTGTTGCAACAACATACCTGTTCAAATGGGCTTTTGTGTTTGAGTCCCTTCCCACCAAGAAATATCCAGTTGTCTCGAAAAGCCAGGTCAGAAGCGTGGCTGCTTCCTAAGTCAGTAAATAGCTTGCGGGCTTCATCATTTAGCCTGAGAGACAGAAAATTGTTTTGTCGTGTTTTTTCTTTAATGCGTCATGGAAGGAACAATAACAAAAAACGTTCTGAAGACGTGTACATATGCTTAAAGTCCAAGTAAAGCAAAACAAACAAGGGCGGGGGGGGGGGGGAAAAACAGTGCCAGAATTAGTCAACCAATCAAATCATAATTCAGCCTTTCAGAAGACAGAAGATGGAGGAAGATCTATCAATACAAAGCTCACTCAGACTGCAAATAGTTTCTCCTTACCCTACGTTGCTCAAATCTGTTGCGAAAACAATTCTCTCTTTTTGCTATTACTGTTCATCCAGGCAACAGCACTGTAGTTCCCAGAGCCAAACATTTTAGGAGATTCCCTCTCCATCCAAGCAGGTGGAGAAGAAGAACCACCCTTGAAGTTTCCCTTTGTAGGCATGGCTGCCTCTATTAGCCTTGCTGTTTTGCACAGAACTATCAAAACAGAATGTTCTGAGTTGAGATTCTGGGTGCTCTTAAGTCGGTGTGAAAAAACAACAACACATTTTGGATTTATTAGATCCTTTTCTGGAGAAGTGGAAGCAGGACTGGGAGA